TACTATTTCAAACTTACACTATTAGTTTATTTTCGTATAAGATAAGATACTAATGTGTACTTAAAATTAATATCAATAGATAAACAAAACTGAATTGTAAAATKTATTTATGTTGTAAACAATATTATACTTAATAGTTATTAATGATTTAATTAACAAATAAAACTCAAAAACAATAGTTTGAATTAAGTGAAGAATGTAGGTATGAACAATATTATGTTTCATTATTATTATTATTGGTTATTGCTAAACTTTTTGAACAGTAGATTGAGTGTTCTAAAAGTTTAATGTAATATCATAACAGATTAGATTTAATACTATGAGAAAGAATAGATTAAATTATTTACACCAATAATAGGACAACAATTGAATAAAAATCTATTATTTTTAATGGTTCATGATTGCTTTTAATACATTCTACCTTTGAAATTAGAAAAGCAAAATCAAGTTCCCTAAATCACATTGTATCACTGTATTCGATTGTTATATAATAAGTATTTAATATAATAGGTATATAAAGAGGATGTGATACCTGTATGTGTTGTCTCCATCTTACAAGTGCGTAGTATAGCAATTTTTACACTCAGCAGATCACGTTTAGCTCCGTGAGTTAAAAATTTAGAGTAAATTGATTTCTTATAAAAATTATCAAGGGATTCTCATAAGATTTTTATTATATTTTTATTTTAAAGCGAGTTATAGGTATTTTAAAATTGTTTATATACCTTAAAATACTCATAACTTGCCTTAAAATTAATATATAATAAAAAGCCTATGAGAAGCTTAGACAATAATGTTACCTTTAATTTTTATAAGAGGTCAATTTACTCTAAATTTTAAACTCACGGAATTAAACATGATCTGCTGAGTGAAAAATTTGGTATGTTATGCACTTGTAACACAGAGACRACACATGTAGGTATAATTTCCTCTTAATACTAATATCAAATTGTTATGAAAAAATTAGGAACTATTTAAATAACAATATTAATAAAAATAACAAATTAATATAATACTAACTTGAATAGAGTTTTTCATTTGTAATATAATTGTGTTGTTCTTTTTAGATGCTGCATCAGATTTTGATCTAGGTCTAAAAGCATCTAGAAGTGTATTTGTTTTACGAGTATGAGAAGGAGATTGTCCAGAACGAGGTTTTGGTGACATTTTTTTTTGGGTAGTTTGRGATTGCTGGACTAGTTGTGATTGCAATTGTTGTGATTTACTTTTTGACGGTTGTATTTTTGGAGTRCCTTTAGCTAAAATATCATCTCCAGATTGACGTCTTTCCACACCAACTGGTCCTTTTTTAGTTTTAGCCAGAGCAGCAACCACTGCAGGCAAGAGTACAGGAGCAGAACCTCCTTTGCTCCAAGTACCTAATTAAATAATAAAAATTGTTTTAATAGGCTTTTAATTTTGACATTTTTCTTTAATTAATATAAAAATGAAATAAGATAATTTATATAAAAGAAACACTAATAACATTTATATTAATAAATTAATCATAAAAATAATGGTTGTCAAGAATATTTATAATCAAATTGAAGTAGAAACAATTTTCAAAAATGCAATTGCAGTAAAAATACCTGAAAAATCATGAGCAGATATTTCAAACATTGTCAATAATAAATTTAATTTTTAAATCAGTAATCAAAGTACAATGTTTTTCTTAGAATATTGATAGAAAATCATTAAAAAAAAAAATAACAAAGAAAAAATATTGAATGTACTTTGATAGAATGTGCCTGCCTATGCAGGTAAAACTAAAAGTAAATATATTATTTTCTGGTTAGCCCTGACTTGGTATTGAAATAATTATTGTTTATTTTTTCCATAATTGGAAATGACAAATAAAATGAGATAAAAGCAAACTAATAAGATATGGTCTGAAATAAAGATTTAAACTTATTATGAATTTAATTAAATCAACATGGTATTTAAATTAATTATCTAATAGCACTGTTAGTTCCACATTTACTAATGTAAAAAAAGTTAAATACAAATATTTTACCAGATCTCGGACGGTTGATTGATACACATTGACCATCTGAATCATCTGCTGTAGTTGGTAAAGGTTGTGATCCAAGTTCCTAAGACAAAAATTAATTGATAGCAAAAAAATATTAATATTATAACTATACCTATATTTATCAATGTTTAGTTGTATACAAAACAAAA